GTTTTTTGTTTCCATCTGCATTTCGGTGCCAGGGACCCAGCCCCGAGCTGCGCACATTAGGCAAGTGCTCTACGGCTGGGCCAGCTCTCCAGCCCACAAGTTGTTTGTTCTTAGGTTCTTTGTTCCTTATCTTTCAGATACTACATACTGAAGTGTTTAGAGGTAAAATTATATGATTCATTGAAACTGTTTCCAAATACAATATCTGGTAGGAGTGGGTTTAAATGGGTAAAAGAAACAAATGCAGGATGCATGCATATTTGGAAATGTGACAGTGAAACCCATTAACTTGTACAACTAACATGTGGTAATAATTATAAAAATGAAAAAGGAACAAGATTGGCCATGTACGCTAGTGATAGCTATGGAAACAAGGTGGCCAGTATACCAGGTTCCTGATAAAAACAACTGCTTTCTAATTTGGCAGATGCTTTTAAACTTCCCTAATAAAAAATTTTTGAAATCATGCCTATAAATAATTTTCAATGACAGGGAAAATGCTTATGATTCAATAGTAGCGGGGGAAAAACCAAGAAAAATTTCAATTCAGGGAAAGATCCAAGCTATACAAGCTATACAAGATCCAAGCTATACAAATCAGTATGCCCCATGCCAATACGCTCAAGGTAGCTACTTGGGAGGTGATGTTATCAGAAATAAATTTCATTCCTTACTCTACACTCTGATTTTCCAACTTGGGTAACTCGGGGAAGCAGACTTTATTCTAATTTTATGAGTAGATGAACGATAGGCACTGTTTGAAAAAATACCCTGGAGTCTGGAGCACTATGTTAAGAAGCCAACTCTCAGAGGGCTAGTGCCACCCCATGGGCCATCTTAGCTCTTACAACTCACACTGAGCGTGACTGCAAGTGTTGTGTCTTCAGCCCAGAGCAAGACTCTATGCCTTGCAGTGAAGCATTTATTTATTTATTCTTCCAGAGTTCCACTCACTATTATCAAAAGGGTGAAAAAGTTCCATAATGACACATATATGACTCCCTGGATGTCCCCGCAGGAACGGAGCCTGGTAAGTGATTATTAATAGGCACCCATTGTTCTAGAAACTTCTGTTCATGAGAGGCTTTAGACATTTCCTTTTGCTTGTTTTGGTGAAAGATAAGATACGAAGGATTCCACACGCTCTTTGTTCCTTTACTCCACAGGAAAGCAGGGTTCCTCCCTCAACATGGCGGAATGCACCAGATTATCTTGACAAGTACTTCCTCAGAGGCCAGGGCCCACCACTTCCTTCAGGCAAGGGACTTGGCTTCCAGGGGAATGTTTGTGTACCAGGAATTTGTATTCATTGCCTCTTTAGGCACCTTTCTTTAAAACCACATGAAGGGAACGTGTGTGGAGATATGCGCAGATCTTATGTTACATACCAGCCTAGAAAGTTCCAGAATATTCTGACCTTCTCCACCCACATGGAATCCTCTACACCCTGGAAGGATCTGGCTAGATAGTTTTCTCCATAATCTCTTGGATTTCTTCCTGGCTTTGTTTTGTTTCCTTTTGTTTTGTTTTACTTTGTTTTTCCTATTTTAGCTCTACTGCCTGAGGATGATTTGATCTTTCTGGTAAAATCTTAACTTGGGAATTTCTTGGATTTCCTGCTTGGAGATTATCACCCCAACATCTCCACATGGCATCTGTGCATGTTCCTTCCCTCCAAGGTCTGCGCGGGGCTCAACAAACACCCTCTGGTGCTGGAAGCTCCTGTTCATCCACAGGCAGACAGAGACCCCAAGGGGCCTTGCCTAGGAGCTGGACTACAGCTCTTCCTCCTCTCCCCTCTCCATCCTCCCCTTACTCCTCTCCTTCCCTCATTCCTCCTCCCTGTCCATCCTCCTCTTCCCCCTTCCTCTCTCTTCTCCTCCTCCCTCCTCTTACCCCTCATCCTCCTCTTCCTCTTCTTCCTCTTCTCCTTCTCCCCACCCACAGGCCTGCCTGCCAGGACCACGTCTACCCCAGGACCAGCAAGGCCGTGGGGGAAAGTTGCAGCCTTTGGAACAACTTTCAAATCAGTTTTGTGAGCTGGAACTGCAGTTAACAGGAGTCTGGATGTGGGGATCTAAACCGCCCCTGGAAGGGAGAGGCGCTGCCTGCGGGCCAGGCGCTCTTCAGGAAAGCAGAGATGAGCTTCGGCCACGCAGCCCCCACCTGCTCTGCACCGGGCCAGGCCAAGGTCAAGCAGGAGGTGTGACTCACTGATCTCGGTCCACACCAAGAGAGCCCCGGGGGGTGCAGGGCTGCCCAGCGAACCCACTGGCCGCTGATGACTGCAGCTTCTGGGCACCTAGAACATCGCAATGTGCTGTATGCACAAAACACACACCGGCTCTGAGGACTTGGAGTGAAACAAGGCATGTAAAATAGCTGATGAATCGCTTCTGTACTGGCTGTGTGGTGAGATGATAAGCTTGGCTCTATTGGGCTAAATATGCCATATTATCTAAGTTCATTTCACTATGTCTTCCTTACTCTTCAAAGTGTGACTGTAAGACAATGTTGCATTTGGTTTTTGTTTTTGTTTTTTTTTTTGGTTTTGGTTTTTCTTCGGTACCGGGAACCGAACTCACGACCTTGCGCTTGCCAGGCAGGCGCTTTTGCCGCTGAGCTAAATCCCCAGCCCCCAATGTTGCATTTGGAAAGCATATGCATCATACATCTGTTGGAAGGCGCTGCTCTGTAGCTGTCCCCAAGCTTTATAGGTGTAATTCTTAGGAAATCCCTTGGAGATTGTTTTATCATTGTTTGCCTCATCCTTGAAAATTCCAACCTGCCAAAAGGGTCTTGTCAACCCCTTCTCATTGGAAAGCAGCAAGAAAAAGTGCTGATCAAAGCTAGATTTTTTTAATTGAATTTTATTTTTTGAATGACACAAAATATTTATACATATTTATATGAAACCAACTATTCATTTGTCACAAATTGTCCTGTAGGGTGGCCAAGGCTTCCTTTGAATATTATCACACTGGCTTTGGATTTAACCCTGCCAATTCTAGGTATCAGACACCCATCCTTCTTAGAATTACTCAAGGCCATTCAAGAATACACTGCCCAGACTTGCTAGTACCCAGCTTCTGACAAAAGCATCAAATGTGGTTAGAGTCCCAGGCTGAGCTTGCTGACCAACCTAACCCAGGCAATATCTTTTATTTTTTTTCTTGATACCTTCTTCTGCCCCTGCCAGCTGAAAACACCTTTCTTCTTCACAGAAGTTTTGGAAATAGAAGGGTGTTTATTTCAGGCCTCAAGACTGAGGCAAACATTGGCTAAATGGCTCCAAGGGATTTTGCAAAGACTTTCCACCCTTGATTTCCAAAGCTAAGGCTGCTTGTGTAACACTTGTGCAGAACGCGTGGGCTGCCTGCATGAAGCAAGTGTTTCCAGGAATGTTTGCTTTGCAGAAGTGAGCGTGTGTGCTCCCCCCCTTCGAAAATTTCCACATGTCCACTCAACAGCTGGAGGGCTAGACAGACACACGGTCCCCTCTCCCTGGAGGGCCCCGGTTTTGCCCACAGTGCGTCTTCTGATGAGCTGCCCATCTGTGAGCTGATGTCTCTTGGTGTGCTGTGACTGTCACCTCTACAAGTTGTCACTAAGGCTGATGGCACGAAGACTAGGCACAGACAGGTCATCTCACAAAACTGAAGAACAAAAAAAGACCCTGACTGTCCTGCACCCATGTTTACGGTTTGAATTATGTCCCCAGGGAAGCCAAGTTCAAGTCCTAACTCCTAATATCTCAGAACATGACCCGATTTGGAGACAGGGTCTTTGCAAAGGCCACCAAGGAAAAATGAGGTCATTGGAGTGGGCTGAAGCCACTGAGCTGGTGTCCCAGGCTCACACAGAGAAAGGACCACTGACAGAGGCACAGAAGACCTAAAAGAAGATCGGGATTCTGCTGGCCCTGCCAAGGAGCACCAGGGCTGCCAGAATCTAGAGAGAGGCCTGGGTCACATCCTGCCCAGTGGGGGCTCAGTTCCACCAACACCTTCACTGGAGAGAATAAAGTTCTACTCTTATCAGCCACCCCGTTTGTGCTACTTTACGACAGCAGCCCCAGGACTCTCACACCAACCTGAATCCTGAAAGGTCCTGTGCCTGGTTTAGTTCCACCTCTCTGACCAGCTTGGTCTCCAAACTGTGTCTGAGATTTGGTGGTCACAACTGATAGTCCCAGTGCCTTAAAAGGTATTTAATATAGAGGTGTAGGAGTCAACAGATGAGAATAGAGAATACCTAATCCAACTGGAGTTTCAAACACATAACACGTCCTTTTCTAGTGTAAGTATATCCCGAATACTGCATGAGACATGCTGAAAATCTGTTTGTTACATATCCGAAATTCAACTTTAACTGGCATCCTGTGTGTTTCCTAGCAACCTAGATAGAGAGCGTGTTTGGAGCGCATTGAACTCCCAGGAGCGCCGGGGGTAGTGGCGCATGCCTGTCATCCCAGCACTCGGGAGGCTGAGGCAGGAGGATTGGTGTGAGTTCGAGGCCAGCCTGGGCTACAAAGTGAGCTCAAGGCCAGCCTGAACTGCATGGTGAGAAGTATCAAAAAGAAAAAAAAAAAAAAAAAAAAAAAAAAAAACCTCCCAGGAAGAGGCACACGCTGGATGCCACGAGGTGGGCAGAGAGGATTTCCATGAGGCTGGACCAAAAGACAGAGTTCATTTTCTGCTATTGGAGCAATGCTGCTCACTTCCACAGCGAGGAACAGAAACGTGCCTGCCCCAGTAGGAAGCCTGATTCTGGCATTTTCTAGGTGGATATATTTCTGATGTTGCACCATACATGATATTTACATCATAATTCAAAATGTAGCATGCATCCGGATGCACCTTCAGCCATCTGAAATAGCGACACTGTCTTAGACCATTTGGAACAAGCAGGACAAGTTTCCAGGACACGACCCATGGAACTACAGAGGGCCCTGCACTCACGAGACCCGAAGTTTGATTCAGATCACTGATGCTGCCATCTTGAAATTCTTAATCATTTTTGAGCACAGAGCACTGCATTTTAATTTTGCATGAGGTGCTACAAAGGCTACAGCTGGCCCCAGGAAAGTGTACTTAGGCACGCGAAAGCTGCTGCGAAAGAATGCTTTCATCATTAAGAACTAGCAGGTCCCTCGTAGGTGTGCTCCTTGCTGAAACACTGTAAGGTACCTGCACCCTGAAACCCCTTCTCACCCACGTGCCGGTACCTACACAGCTTTCATTTCATTAATGTCTAGCCAGATCAACAGATTGTTTTTGAGTCTGTGCATGCTGTGAGCTGCTGTCTGCACCTCCTTCCAGCCTGGCCTTGGAACATCAGCGTGGAATCTGCTGTCTTTGGCTCCAGCAGGGCTGCGGTTTTTGGAGGACAGTTGTTGCTCGCAGGGACTTGAAGGCCAACTGGAGTTTTCCTGGACCTCGCCCTTGAACTGGCAGACCTGGGGCTATTTGATTTCCCACCAGGGGCCGATTCCCAGGCTGCATTTGTGTGGAGCCCATCTCTGCCAGCAGCTCCATTTCTTTTCCAGTCTCCACTTTTTCCTCTTTTCCCATGCAGTTTTCTTCCCCTGCCACTGGGTCTTTCCTTCTAAATTTCCCTGGCTGTGTCCGATGCCCCTTTCCAGGTCCTCTCCCTGTTTTTAACTCTTCCGTTGCACCATCAGCTCTGCACTGACCCATGTATTGCTCCTGTCTTCCTTTAAGGAAGAAGAACCAAAAGACAAAATTCACATGCGCATCGTTGCTTCATAATGTCCCTTTCACAGGTCTTGACCAGACGCAAAGCTGACACTGAGGGGAAGAAATTTTGCAAATTAGTCTCCATTTCTGTTCCGCTTCTACTCCAACCTCATCAACAATCACACCACACGAAGGGCCTACAACTGCTCTGTGACTTTGGGGAAGTCACTTAACCTCTAAGTATCTTGGCTTCTTTATCTGTAAAATAAGTGTTGGGTTAGATAATGATCTCCTATGAGTCTACAAAGGTATAACCATTTGTTATTTCACAAAGTACAACAAGCATTTCTACTGAGTCACGATCTACTGTATTCATCAGCAATTGTTGTGATGATGCTGTGTAACAAACAGTCTCAAATTCTGGGTCTTAAAACAATATATACTTCGTCCTCAGTCTATTTCTGCAAGTTGACTGGGGCTTCTCTAATCTGGACTGCAGGTCAGACCAGGTGGGCTCCATATGTCTCTTATTCTGGGACCAAGCCAACCTGTCAGCCACTACTTGGGCATGTTCCTCTCAGACAAATGGCAGGGGCGCCAGAAGTAAGGCCAAACCACACAGCGTAGGTGTGGCCTCTGTCACAGCTCACAGGACTTCAGCCAATGCATGGCATGTGGCCAAGTCCGATGCCTGCAGGGCAGTGGAAAAACCCACCCCAGGAAGGCCATGGCTCGGGCCAGAAGGGAAGGAAGAATGGTAGAAGGAAAACTACTTTCTACCACACCCTGGTTCCCAGAATCCTCTAAATTACAAATGAATTTACATTTCTAGCTGTTACGCATTGAACTGTTTTTTTTCCCCTAATCACCACCAAATAAAAAAAAGATATACTAGAGTCCTCAACCGCCCCAAATGATCTCTGGAGGCCCCTGCAGCCATAGGTGACCCCATGTGCTGTCACTCTGCTAGCATCAGTGCTACTTTTTTAAAAGGAGGTGAAATTCATGTAATACAAAAGCAACCACTTCAAAGCAAACAATTTGATGGCATCCGGGGCACTTGCAATGTTGTACAACCAACACCTCTACCCCGTTCCAAAGCATTTCATCACCCTGAAGTAAAACCCAGGCCCATCGAGCAGTCCCCCCGCCACCCCGCCTCTCCCTCTGCAGCCACGCCTCACCTGGGGCCACCACCAATCTGCTTCCTGCTGCCTTGGTGTTCCCTGTTCCAGACGTTTCCTATGGATGGTGCCACATACTATGTCATCGTTTGTATCTGGCTTAGCATGCTTCGTTTGTATCTGGCTTAGCATGCTTCTGAGGTTCATTCAGCTTGCAGGCTATGTGAGCTTCGTTCCTTTTTATGGTTGCGTAATATGCGGTGCAGAGCTAGAACGTTTTGTCTACCCCTTCCTTGGCTGAGGGGTGTCTGTCTGGGTGGTTTCCGCCTCTCAGCTCTGTGTGCGGTGCTGCTGCAAACCCTGTGGACAGCTACGAGTTCAGTGTTTGTTTCTGCTCTCCTGGGCTTGTATCTAGGCAAAGAACTCTGAAGATCGCAGCAGCAGCTCGCATGTCTAGGCTTTCTCTTGAATCTTTTAATCATACAAGGGGTGATCGATCTATGCAATGAATATTTAAATTTTTTAAAAGTATTGCAGTAAAAAGCACATTACTGACAATAACCCTCAGAATCTTCCCCCTGGCTTCGCACACGCTCCTCCCGTCATTCTGGCCACTTTCTGGAGCAGCTCCGGAGTCCTCTTTGATGAATGTGTTTAGAAGCATGATCAATAATATGGTGAAAGCTGTGTCCTCAAACACCGTACTCACTGAATCTGGCACCGTGTGACTTCCGGCTCCACTCCAAAGTCAAAATGACCATGAAAAGTGAACACTTGGAATCCATTTGGGACATGGAGGCAGCCAGAACAGCACAACTAAAGACACTCAGGAAAGAGGACTCCAGAGCTGCTGCAGGAAGTGGCCAGGACGCGGGGAGGAGTGTGTCTGAAGTGAGGGGGAGGATTTTAAGGGAAATTCGTGGCAATGTGTCTCCTGCTGTGATAATTTTGTAATTTACACCTTCATCCACTCATTGTAATTTTCAGTCTAACTGCACAGAGCGCGGAAACGATTCCTCATAAACAAGAAGCTGGCAAACATTTCAGACTCATGGCCAAGGGTCTCTGTCACAGCTTTCCAGCTCTGCCTTTGCAGCTTGGAGCAACCACAAAGGTCCCTCTAAGGGCCGTCGGGCCCCCGTGAAAGGTCATTTGCTAAAACAAGCAGCCAGATGTGGCCTTGGGCTACAGGTTGCCAGCCCCAGATGTGGAGCGGCCCAGGAGGACGCAGCCTTTTCCAAGGGCACCAGAGGGGAGCTGGCGCTGCGCCCGAGGGGTGTCCTGATAGTCGCAGATGTGGCGTGCAGGACTTGCTTCTGGAGCGAGTGGTCATCTGCTGTCTACAGATGGGGGACATCTTCAGGTTCTCTGGGAAAGGAAAGGCCAGGGAGAACTTAGACCAACCCCTCCCTGTCCTCTCTAACAATCACTGTATCTGAGATTCCCCGAAAAACCCCAGAAGCTCATCCACCCAGCAAGTACTCCAGGAGCCCTTACTGTATGCAAGTCCTGCACTAACCCTTAAGCATTTAAATGGATATATTCAGGAGGTTTTCTTGGCTAAGCTCACTTGGTTACACCCAGTAATAGAGACCTCACCACCTGCAAAGGCAGATGTCTGGAAGAGAGCTTGGATTCCTCAGAAACACCCACATCTCCCCAGCATAATTACACAGCACCTTCCCCCAGCAGCCAGGCACAGGCGCCCCCACCACACGCAGGAACGAAGAGAACACGCAAGAAAACCAGAAGACAGCAGTGACACAGACATGCCACCTCGGCCTTGAGCATGTCTGGCCTTTGTAAGAAGCCAAGGAACATTTTACATTCAGTGACACCCTGAAAAGTCCCCCAGTTTAGGCCAAGTTGACAGTCAGATTCTGCAGCGCCCCTTCGAATCATTTTCCCTCCCAGGTGGTTATCAGAACCCTCCCGGAGCCCAGGTGGTTATCAGAACCCTCCCGTCTGCAGGAGAGGAACGGATGTACAGGACTGGTAAAAGGCTGTGCTGGCCCCAGCAGTGCAGGATCAGGTGCCACGGCAGAGGGCAGCCGTGCCTTCAGCTGTACAGTGAGGGGACGAGAGTCCCGGCTTCACGGGTGACTGAGAGACAGGAGGAGATGCACCGCCCTGCCGCCCAGGCACAAGGGCCACCCGGTGCCAGTTAAGGGCTACGGGTCGGCCAAAGGGCTTTCCACGCCTGCGCTCTTGCAGGTATACAGAGGACCGAGCCAGCAGGCGGAGGAAATGCCACAGGGACCCTGCTCAGGGAAGCCTGAGGAGCAGAGGATTGGGTTCAAAAGAGGAAGGAGATGGAGGCAGACAGAGGTCAGGACCGGAGAGGGCCAGCCTCCGGCAGGCGCCTGAGTTCTCCCACTGACTCACCACCGTTTACCTAACAAATGCAGCTGCTGGGTGCATGCAGTGGAAAGGCAGCTGGTAAAGCCATGAGCTGCGTCCTCTTCTGCCTCATTCACCAGATGTGGCACCGTGCCACCTCTGGCTCTTCCCCAGAGTCAAAATGACTGTGAAAGGGAAATCGCTGGAATCAGTTCTGGGTAATAAAACAGCCAGGACAGCACAACTAAAGACACTGAGGAAAGAGGACCCCAGAGCTGCTGCAGAAAGTGGCAAGATGATGGGACGAGTGTGCTCAAAGTGAGGGGAAGTATTTTCAGGGAGATTCATGGCAACACGGTCTTACTGTAATAATTTTTTAATTAAAATAGTCTGTATTTTTTATCACACCTCATATATATGTACACACTCATTTTTACTACACTCTTTGGCTTACTTAGATGATTACAAACACACACACACACACACACACACACACACACACACACACACACCAGGTAGTAGGTAGTGGGTTTCTTGGTGTGCTTGACAGAAATGACAGCCCAAGCACCCTTGGAGAAAATCTCCTTAGGGACCTTGGAGCCACTGACAGGGAAAGGGGGTTGACAGGCCTTAGAAGCAGAAGGCAGAGCTAGTCAACAAGTATGCGTGGAAAGCAAAGGGACGCTAATTCATTTCCTGAAGAGCCACAGGGATGAAATTAATCCTACCCACAATTAAGTTCTGGTTAAATCAATCAAATGGAAAAATCAGTCTCTCATAAACACCAACCAGTGCCTCTTTGCACTCCTAAGATTTCCCTCAGCCTCCTATGCAAAACTTGTAAGCAGAGCCTGTACCTGAGGAAGTCCTTCCTTTCCATGAACCTGGCTGTCGTTTGCTCGGGAAGCGAAGATTACATTATGGAGTCTACTCGCACTCCACACAGCTAACAGCACCTCAGGGGCTGCCAACTGCAGCAAATCCAGAAGAATATCAGCCCAGAGAATAGTCTTTATTGTACAACAGTACAGAGGGTTCCCAAAACATTTGGGTTTATATTTTAAGAAGTTCTAGTCACCAAACAGCTTGTCATTACAGCAAAACGTCCAAGCCGCAGAATCCTAGGCAGGTGCAACCATTGACCCGTGTGTGACCAGGAAGCACCATGGTAAAGTGGGGTCTGGTGATGGTACTGCCAACAGTTCCTCCTTGGTTCCATTCCAGCCATCTTGCTGGAGTTCTGTGCTTTGGATCTTTATGTCTTTTTTTTGGTTGTTCTTTTTTTAGAAGTACTCAATTTTTCCCATGATCACTCACAAAGTTAATTATTAAGAAAATCTAAATCTCCCAGGGCTTTATGAACCCTTGAAGGTCAGGCTTGGAGCTTCCCACTCTTTAGCAGCTTCCCTCTCTCTCCCCCTCCTCCACTTTGACAACTAGGAAATCCAACATGATGACTACAGTTTGGATCTGGAGTGTCTCCCCAAAGCCCAGGTGTTAATGGGTTGGTCCTCAGCTTGATACTATTAGAGGCAGCAAAAACTTTAAGAGGTGGGGCCTAGTGGGAGATGTTTAGGTTACTGGGGGTGTGGCCTCACTCTCACCACAGGCCCAAAGCAGCCAGGCCAACCAACGATGGACTAAGACCTCCGAACCTGTGAGCCAAATAAGTCTTCTCTCTTCATAAACTGTCTTGGACATTTGTTACAGAGATGCAAAGCTGACTCACACAACAGTGGTGGTAACTAACATTTACTATGTGTTTAGAAGGGAGATCAAGTCATCTGGGTCGGGGCTGGGGATTTAGCTCAGCGGCAAAGCACCTGCCTGGCAAGCGCAAGATCGTGAGTTCGGTTCCCGGTACCGGAGAAAAACCAAAAAAAAAAAAGTCATCTGGGTCTCCTTAAGACTAGTGTGGTTAAAATTAAATAAATAATAAAATATATTTTAGTCACTTGCCAGCATGTAAATTTCTGGAAATGCAGTACGCATGCAAAATTTTTCTTCTTCCTTTACACTTGATCTTAGCCAAAAGGCCGAGAAGCGATTTCCTTCTTCCTTTAAAGACTTCAGGAGACCTGGTAGCACCAAGTCCCAGATGCCTGCCTGGTGCCACTCTGCTGGGGTCAAGCCGGAGGCCCTCAACAGAAAAGCCGGAGCCTCCAGCACCTGTCCCAAGGGCCTGTCAGAAAGCTCTGCTCCTGTGGACATTGAGAAATGGCCATCCTCCTCTAACCACAGATTTTTCTCTTCCCCGCACCCTGTAAGGTCCTTAAAGAAGCTTCCAGAGTATCATGTGTTCCAAGGCACAAAGGAGTGCTCTAGTGGATGCAGGAGTGCTGTGGTGGAGGAGAGCTGCTCACAGCATGGAGGACAGGAAGCAGAGGGAGAAGGGTGGAGCCAGGGAGTGAGAGGCACTCTTCCAAGCCACACCCTCAGTGACTGCACTTCTGAACAGATCCCCACCTTCTAGCAGCAAATTAGCTACAGCCCCCCCACAATCCAATCACCTTCCAAAGGTCCCCCTACAAGTACATGAGGCTTTGTGGGGGGACATTCCTGATCGAAACCAGAAGAGTCCCCATAGCACAGGCAAACAGCACAGGGCAGAGGGTGTCTTGTCAGTGCACGCCCTGTCTCACCACCTGGAAAGAGGCCCAGGAACATCGGGCCCTGGTTTGTACGCCCTGGGCAGCACTTGGTTCACTGAGCTCAACACTGCAGCCTGAAGCTTAGGAGCTAGGGCTGGAGAATGAGGGGTGAGAATTGTGGCCATGCAGGGGACAGAGCCCCGGTAAGGGAGTGTCTGGTCATCACAGGGCATGGAATGGAGTCTGCGGCCCAGAGGCCATTTGTCCTTCCACAGCTCTCTGAAGTGGGCAGCCAGGCAGACAGCTGCAGGGGAGATGCGGGGGGAGCACTGCAGGCCCACACCACCCACTGCTTCCCACAGGGGCTACCGTCTCCCCATCAGGCTGAGACAGTAGGGTCGACCAGACTGGACCCACAGCACAGGCGGCCCCCACGCCGAAGACCGAAGGATTTCATTTCCTGCTTCTAGAAAGATTTGTCAAGGGCTGTGGTGTAGCAGAGGCTGTCTCAAGGTTGGGCATATAACGGTGAAGAGACAGAGAGAGCGAGGGAAGGAAGGAAAGGGAAAGAAAGAGGGAGAAAGAAGGCAGGGGACAGAGCAGGGGAAGAAAGAAAGAAGAAAAAGCTTAGCACCGTTACGGGAAGCCAGGCAACTTCAGTCCAGGGCTGGTAATCAGGAGGCCACAGACTCCTGGGAACCTGAATTCAAGAAAAGCAATGACACTTTTATCTCCACTAATATGTAGCTGAAAATGAGTACGTCCTTCCTTGTGAATACACACAGCACTCCACAGCGGCAGGAGCAACACCTGACACCCGCTCGCTGAGTAGAAATCACAGATCCCCTCACAAAGCATCTCCTTGTTCCCAGGGTCTCAGAATAGCGTTTGTACCCATCCCTACTTTGCAATTAAAGGGGCTACCAGAACTGCTGGGAGAGCGTGTTGTAAAATGCATGAAAAAGAACATATTTTTCCAAAAACGCATCTTCTAACCGCATATCATGTAGCTGACTTCCTTTAAAATCCAGAGTACTTCATTTCACGCATTTAGGTATCCTGTGCTAACCAGGGGTCGGTAGGAAGCGTGGCCCAGGAAGCGGGAAGAAGACCCTTCCTCGTCACGCGCGCAGGGTCACACACAGGGACCCCTGGCTGCGACCCGCTCCGGGAATCTGGGGACGCCGGGAATCAGCTGCTTCTCGAGCACCCACGAAATCTCACCCCACTCACACTTCATAACAACTAAGCTGACTCGAAGGCTTGGTAATGCCTTCAAGCCGTTGCTCCAGAACTCCGTAATGCTAGCCCGGCAAGCTGGGCATGTAGTCATGTTTTAAATGGAGAAAACGAAACTGAAAGAAACGCCTGCGGCCGGGGTCCCGCGATCCGGTGCGAGCTTCTCCTGCGCCAGCTGCCCCCGCACCAGACCTGGCAGTGGGCTCACCTACGAGCATCTCGGGCACCTGCAGGGCTGCGCACGCGCTCTGTGCCGGCCCCGCCCCCTCGCGTACCGCTGTCCTCTTGGGCTCCTGCCCAACTCTTGTCTGAACTTGGGGGTGTGTGACGCCATGTGACAGAGATCTCTGGGACAAGGGGCACTTGCTGGCTGCCCCGGGGGACCCTTGGCTCCTCACAGGCTTGGTGCTGTCCCATGCTCTGAGTGCCTTTGTTGACGCCATGAGCCGCCTGGCAAACGCACATCATTGACAGTGTTGAGGATGCCAGTAGGGAGGGACTCGCCGCCTCCGCTGCAGGATGCCTGTAAGACTCACGTGAGCGCAGCCAGGCGCTTCCACTGCCAGGCCGGAACCAGCCTTAAAGCCTGCTCCTGCTGGGCTGCCTTACGTCCGGCGCCCGGAGGGGAAGGAGGTCTGGCTCTGGCCGTGATCACCAGGAAGGGCCAGCCTGGTGGTGAACCAGTGATGGTGAACTTCTGAACCCGCCGTGAGAGCAAGAAAAACATTTTCTCCCCATTTCACAGATTCAAAAATGGAAAGATCCCGGGAGCTCGGTGGGCGCCTGGCGCCTCCCTGTCCCTTGGTTCTGTGCAGGATGGAGGGAACACAGGCCCGTGCTTCCTGCCTGAGGCTGGATCACCCTTCCTCCAGGGTCCACGAGCACGACTGCCCCCTCAAGTGGGACTTCAAAGCAAAACCTGTCCTCTGGCCTCCTTCCCTGCCTATAACCTCTCAAGTCTCCCTCCAGTTTCTGAGAACTACTCCTCGCAGATGTTTTGCCTAGGACGCAGGTCCTGTTTAAATTGCGCTGTTGCGAAGCCCGCCAGTTTAGCACCAATCTCCTGAGTGTGTGCGGCGGGAAGCAGCAACGAGGCAGGACTCCCAGGCCCCGAGGGCGCCCTCCTGGAAGCAGGGTGATGATCAGGGCACGGACTGGGACAAGCGTCTTTGAATCACCAGACATAGACCGCATCGTGGCTTCCGTGGGAGATCAGAGGTAAGGGTCCCAATGTTATAAACAGGCTCACTGTTCTAGCAGATGGAATGAGGGCGTGGGTGCCCCTGTGAGGTCAGGACCCGGCCCTGTTGACCTGGAGCAAGTTCAAACTTCACGGACAACCACTGGGTGTTTGCACAGCTGGTACAGGTGCCAAGTACAACACAGCAGACAAGTGGGTCCTCGCGGGGCGCAGGTGAGTGGCCAGGCCTGGCACTAGGGCTCGGGGACAACTAGAGCTTGACAGAGCAGAAACAGAAGATTTCTCTCGGTGAAGGAGGAGACCCCACGCCTCTCTCACCATCTGGCGGGAGTCACCTGCCTGCTCAGTGTGCAGGTTAGAGACACAGGCTCTGCCAGGGTGGCACACGCTTGTAATCACAGCTACTCAGGAGGCTGAGGCAAGCAGATCTTAAATTCAAGGCCAGCTGAGCAAATTAACGAGACCTTATCTCAACATAAAAATTAAAAAGAACTGAGGATGTAGCTCTGTGGAAAAGTACTTGTCTGGTCTTTGTAAGGCCCTGGGTTCAATCCTCAGTACCCACCACCCCCTAAAAAAAGGGACAGGCTCCGGACCCTGCCCCAGAACTCCAGGATCCAGCTCTAGAAGCTGAAGTTCTATAAGCACCCCAATAGTACACCCACAGCTCCCAAATACTCAGGAAGATCAGGATCCTCAGGGACACCTGTCAGAACATAGGCGCAGACCCCTGGCTATCACACACTTAATCAAATTCTGCAGAAACCAAGGCCCTGATGACTCACAGATCCCATCTCGGCTCAGCCCAGAGCTTCCCAAAGTCTGTTCTCCAGGCCAGGGGTGGAGGCAGCACCTGCAAGCTCATTAAACATGCAGATTCTCGGGCCCCTCCCAGACCTGCTAAGCCAGAAACTAGGGTGGAGCCCCTCCCTCCAGCAGAAGACAGGGTACAGCCTGTGAGCCGCCCACAGCCATGGATTCTGTCCATGCCACAGCCTAGGGCACAGAGCTTGGCATGGAGTTGGCCCCAGGGCTCTCCCTGGCCGCTAAGAGAATGGAAGACAATTCCTTGCTCCCTCCTTCTGAGCAGGCTGTCTGCTCCCTCCAGCTCGCGGGAGCGGAATAGCGCTACCTGGGCTCCTGTCTGCAGGGAAGGCTGCCACCAGCGAGAAGAGCAAGCTTCACCCTTCTTGCTAACTTCAAGCCGCTCTTGCATGGTCTGCTTGCTCGGCAGCCACCCGAAGGGGTGCACGAGCCTGAGTCCCAGAGTGACGTGTTTGGACAGTCACCAACTTGTGAAGGTTCAGCTTAGTTTCTGAACTCTTTGATGGTGCGAAAGCCAAATGCATCCAGTAGAAACCATGCTGGATGTGCGGTACTTTACTCTCTTTCCAGGCTAGCAATACGTGGTCCAGTCTTCTCTCGGGACACACCCGGCAGGGGCCGGCTGCCACCTCCCTCGCCCCTGACCGAGCTGCACAGGGTAGGCACACTCAGCATCTTCTCAACTTCAGATATTTTCCCTTTACTTGACTCTATGGGGACGGGATACATAGAGAAGCACATCTCAACTGAAGCGTAAGACAAACATCTCCCTGCTCTCATTGCACATGGGTTACTTCTTCTAATGAGGGCTCTGAATAAACACAGGGGCCCCTTGAAGGCCCTCTTGCAGCTGGCCTGCACAGGTGCCTTTCCATTCCAGTCTGATCCTCTCCTGCACCAGGAAGCTGCCACCACTCCGCCCCTCCTTGGCTCAGACCCCTCCTCCAGAGTCCAGGAAGGTCAAGGCCCCTTCCCAGCCCTGGGGACCCTCAGCTCCCAGACTCAGAGCTGTTGTGCTTGGTGGCTGTTTTCTTTCCTTGTTCACACTGGTAGATTTTCCTCATGCACGTGTCCTTGTTAGACAACAAGTATGGAAGGCTGGTCTCAAAAAGCAAAAGCCCCACACTGCCATCATTCCTGATGAATGGTTTTGGATTTACAGCGCCCCTAGAACGGTTCCAGACCTACTGGGCATTGCTCCTGCGGCCTGGAGTGTGAGGTCTTTTGCAAAAGCCCCCACATCCATGCCTCACCATCATCCGGCCATTGGGGAAATAGTTATGAGCCCTTCAAGCTCATCTGCTTTAGGGACAGAAGGAGCTTGGGCTTCAGGGTCAGCAGTTTATACTCAAACCCACTTCACCATTCATTATTATATTAATATTATTAATAATGTTATATTGTATTAGTTAAGGTTCTCTGAGAAACAGAATAGGAAATATATGTGTAATTCTACTCCGGGGTTTATTAGGTGGTTCACCAGATCAGTAGCAAGAGAGACCACAGTGGCCGACTATGTGCTGGAGAGACAGAGGATCCAGTCCCTGTTCAGCCCAAAGACAGAAGCTGTAGAAGAAGAGGGATCAGGGACGCAGCACTAGTACCACTTCAGTGGCTGGGAGCTCCCTAGAAATTGCTGGTGCTGAAGAAACTGGAGGCCAGTGTGCAAAGTTGATGGCAGGAAAGGATGTCAAAAAGACTGGAGCTCATCAAAAGCAGGAGCACTTCCTTCTTCTCCACCCAGGCTGCAAGCCTATTGGTCAGTGCCAGCTGCATCTAAGGTGGGACTTCCTCCTGCCGGTCTGCATTCCAATTCACTGGCTTGCATGCCAATCATCCATCCACAGACACACCCAGAAGTGTGCTTTACTCATCTGCCTGGAAGTTCTTACCCCAGCTAATTTGACACATCATGATTAACTGCCACAAATATTTTTTTTTTATTTTAAAGAATAAAAGAAGGATAACATAATATTAGGGGGGACTTAGCAAATTACAGAACAAATGGTAGGAAATTATCAATGGTTATCGTTTTACATATTATCTACAAAATAGTTTCTCAGGAAAACAAGTAGACAAATAATAGTGAGTTAGAGACAAAAGAGGTAGGAGATTATCAAGAGTTGTTGTGCTATACTTTGGTATCTTCAAAGAGGCTTCTAAAGAAAATATATAGAGCTATACATGAGTGACCTATTGAAAAATCA